ACGTGACTTTAATAAACATTTCTTACTTAATGGAAACACTGCAGTTGTGAAACTGTGTTTTTGACATTAACAGAATATCGAGAAAGTTTTGCGCACATTTTAGAGTGGAAACGCAGCNCTTCGGTTTTGGACGTCCTTCGTCGCGGCCCTGTGACGTATGCCGCCGACGAATTCGGCCTTCGGAGGACCCAGCCTGCCGTTTTGGACACAGCTTTCGCCTGTCCCGCCCCCTACTGTCCAACGGCTGAATCGCAGGCATTCAGACAAACATACTCAACTAATGTTTGATTAACGGTCCTTTTTATGTGTTTGATAAATGTTTCGGACATGTATCTAAACTATTTTAATCAAGACATAACAATGGTTAAACAATAGATTATAACAGTCAATATTTCAAAAGGAAAACTAAGAAAATGGTGTAGTGCTTTTAAAATCAGTACTAGCCTGACTCATAAATTTCTTCAGTAAGGTGTTCCAGAGCTTAGGGCCACAAACAGAGAAAGCTCTTTCTCCTCTAAGCTTCCTCTTACAGGTGGGAACAGCCAGGAGCAGCTGGTCAGCAGACCTAAGGGACTGAGAGRGAGTGTAACAATGGAGGAGCTCTGTTAATTATGGTGGRGCAAGGCCATTTAAAACTTTAAAAACAAACAAAAGAATTTTTAAATGAATTCTAAAATGTACAGGTAGCCAGTGGAGAGAGGCCAGGACACGGGTAATGTGTTGTCTCCTACGTGTTCCTGTCAAAAGACAGGCAGCGGCATTCTGCACCAACTGCAGACGTGTGAGGGATGACTGGCTAACACCAAAACAAAGAGAATTACAGTCATCCAGCCGTGATGTAATGAAGGCATGGATTACTGTTTCAAACTGATGGTTTGACAGAAATGTTAAGTGTTTATATTACACTTTAAGAGTAAAATTTACACCAAACTTGGGGATCATTTGGGTCCAAGTTCCCAGTATTGAAACAACACTGGACATTGGTGTTAAATATTTAACACCAGAATAGTGTAAAATTCAAACACGTTAAGAGTATAAACTCTTATACCATTTCACTCTTTCCAGAGGGTGAMTCCATTATACTTTTCTACTACTGAGTAGTGTTAATGCAACACTACAAAGAGTTTGATTTTAACTCTTGAGTGTTAAATTTGTGGTGTATTGACACCTTGTGGTGTCTGTTAACCTTTAGCACCATAATTTCCTTTGTTAATGATAATACGCTTGTGTTAGTTTTAACACTGTATTTTAACTGTTGAAATGTAAATGTGACACCCAGTATTGTTGAATATTAAACACTGGTTGGTGTTAAAATTGAACACTTTCTCAAATGTTATTTTAACACCAGTGAGTGTGGACACATATAAACCGTGTTTCCATCAAGGCTTTTTGATGCGCATTTCGAAGTGTCGCATTAAAATGCAAAAAAAGTCGGATGGAAACAGCAAAATTTGAAAAAAAAATCCTCAATTCGCTAAAAAGTTTTTACACTCGCTTGAGGTGGTTTTTGGATGATTCGCAAAGTAGTTAATGTGCAAAACTGGAGATGGAAACAAGTTTGCCAAATAAATTCTGACATAGCGCATATTTACCTCGTGACGTTCAGCTGTTTCCGCTTTCCTCCGTCTCCTGGCAGCGTTAAACATAGCCTGTACTAGCTGAATAGATAGATTAATTACAACTTTCCCAATAGCAAGGCATGCACGAAAAAATCGCTCGCTCCATTGTCCGGAGATGATTAGCCTCTGCTAGTTAGCAAGTTTCACTTCCT